GTCTCGGGGTAAAGCTAGGTGCCGAACTCTCACTAGCCACACAGATTAACTCAATCATGAGTCATGAGGTCTTGCTTTTTCCAGCTTCGCCGCATTACTCGCCTCAGACCAATCTTCAAGCGGAGGCACTTGGAGTCATTCATCCATGCTTTCATTACCTCTTGCTTAGGGCTGGGCAATAAATCGAAAATTATCGTTATCAAAATTTCTGACACTTATCGGGATACATTTTCCCATGACAATACTTTTGATAATAAAAAAAATATCAAAGGATGTGTGTAGGTTGGCAACATTCGCGTCGCTTTAAGAAGCTGTACCACCTTGAGTTACGTAAAAATGTGACTCAACATAATACATGTGACAGCCCCATCTAGAGGACAACTTTTGTTTCTGCGCATATCTGTAGTTATCGTCCATCTATCGTTGTCAAGGTGAAATTCTTAATATATCGTGACATTGATTTTAGGCCATATCGCCCAGCTCTACTCTCGTCTGGATTATGCAAACACCCTCCTAGTAGGTGCTCTGGTCTCTGCCCTGAATCGGCTACAGGTCATCCAGACCGCTGCTGCTAGGTTCTTGACAAACACACACCGATGTAGCCATATTACCCCTGTCCTGGCACATCTGGCTCCCTGTCATTTTCCGAGTACAGCTGAAGCTATTGATTTTTGTCTTTAACTTATTCGCTGCTAGCCTTTTTCAACGTTTTTACTGTTGTTTTAAGAGTCATAGAACGTTGCGCATTAGGATTATGTCAACGGCAAAACTACCAAAACAAAGCAGAGACTCACCTCTTACATCAGGAAGAATCAGAGCGTTTCGAGCGTTATCCGTCCTTTCATAATCCGTTGTTGAATTGTGATCGGTAGAAGCTTTTCCGGTTCACGCCTCACTTTTTTTACAGCACCGGCCCAAAGTAATCTCCTTGCACATGGATTTTCTGCTTCCTGAACACGTGACGTGTGACGTATGCAGATGAAGATCGGCTTTAGAGCTGGGATGTTTGTTCTCACGGTGCGGAGGCTCGTTCCATAAAAATCAGGTCTAAAATACATGGGAGTAGGTCTAAGTCTCTGGGCGAAGCCATATTAGATGTCATGTTTTCTTCTACGGGGGCCCTTGAGGACAAAATGCATTTACTGATTTGTAACAAACGATTACAAAACATTCACCATTCATAAATGTTGTTGTTTTACACCTCTTCACTTGTTACCAGTGATGAGAGAGAGTCTGATATACTTGTTATTTTGGTGAAGTTTGCACTCCCCACTGCTTTTTGACTCTAATTGGCATCTGTTGCAAGGTCTTACTCCAACACAATAATAGAGCTTGCTTGCAACAATTTAGGAATCTACTGCCTCCTATCACCAGGAAAAATACAGACTAGCGCTTTAACCCCCTCTGCCATCATCGTCCCAACTGCATGTTACCTCCTTATTTGTGATTTGCATTGGAAAAACATGTCTGCCAATTACTAGACATGTCAAAAATGTTTGTGACATAACAAACACATCTGTAACAACCTGGTGTTGTTTGAGATTTGATTCTAGCAGATGCAGAAACGTATGTTGTATATTTTCCTACAGTTATACACATCTTTATATGCCACAGGAAGGCTAGGCTAATGTGCCACACTATGAGGGGGGATGTAAGGTACCAGAACAGAATTCAGTCTGGATCTGAGAAATATACAAAGGCTGTACCATCATAGAATACCATGGAAGGAAATATAGGAACTTTAAAAACTGACATGTGTTTAAATATGGCTCAATTTATGTACAATAGCATATTTTTAGAATTAGAAAATAGAATTTTGTACAAATCTTTCAGTTTTACATGACGGACAATTAAAAACTAATGATTACATTTAGATGTAAAGTGGTTTTGATGAAGGTCAGGATCTAAACGCAGGTATTAAACCAGTTGATTTTTGGGATTGCGGATTTATTTTTGATATTTTCTACATGCTTTGCAGTATAAGTTGTAAACATGTTCCTATGACCTGTCCTCTGAGTAACTGGCTTCTCATGGCCAATGTCATGTGATGATCTCACACACTTCATAGCTCCCAGGGGAGAAGCATTTGGCTTTGGGCAGCTGAGGAGACACAAAGCTCTGTTTTACTGCAACCGCGAGGCGTGTTGGAAGAGCTCCTGACAAAGTATACAAGAGAGACTTCTGGTAATTGATTATGTCTCCAAGCAGCTTTCTCACTTGCCTCGCTGTGAGGGAGCAAGGCATGATTTTCTAAATTATGCATGGGTAAAGGAAGGAAAAGAGGCTTTTAAAAGTTATAAGATGTAAGCAAAGACTAGCAGCTCCGGCTGAGATGATTTATGTCCCAGTAACTGGTTTCAACTGTAGTTAGATTTTATTCCAAGTAATTGAAAAAGTTTGATAGATTGAGGTCCTTTATGGAAACAAAAACCTTTTTTACTTTTAAAAACAAACCTATACTGTATTAATCAGTTGTCCTGTCTGTCTTTCAGTTGACTGTGCGGACATCGTCCTGAACTGTCTCTTCTGCCAACTCTACGACATTATCCATGTGTTACCCAAGCCCTGTGAGAGACTCACCAACCACTGCTGGCCCAACTACAAACACGTTGCCCCCACAACTGAGTCCACACACAACGACGATGATGACTCATACGTAGACTTGGATTGTGGTTTCTGTGGTATCTGTCATGATGCAAGTGACTGTCTGGAGCTGGCTATGGAGGTTTCTGAAATATGCTACCACTAGCAGGAAACCAGGAGTGTGTGGAGTGGCGGGGGTGTCTCAGGACTAAAATACACAAAACAGGAAAATTAAAGTAAAACTATGTCATATTATGATGACCTTGTATGGTATATATTCTTTGGAAAAATTTGGGATCACTTGTTCTTGTTTTCCTTGGAATCAAATGAGATATTGCTGTACTGGAATATAGATTGAGTTGATGAAGTCTTCCTCATGTGGCACAACACCTCAACCAAGTTCTGACCTAGAGGCTGTGCTGGCTGTGCGCTTACTGACTGATTATCCCTTAAATGTTGCTGACACATGCTGGAGGTGTGTTTCTGGGTCATTATCCTGTTGTAGGATGAAATGAGACCTAATCAAGTCCTGTCCACAAGGTATAACATGCTGTTGCCAAAGCTTGATTTATCCTTCCTCCCTCAAGGTTTGATCTGTTTCACCCCCAGATCCCCTTCAGGTCATCACACTTCTCAACACAATCACAGCTGATGATTAATTAGCTTCAGAACATTATTAACTTGTATTAGCAGCCAGACCAGGAGGCTTAAATGGGTGTCTGCAAATATATAACTGCTTCATTAAAATTGTTTATGATTTGCATGAAATTGGGCTTTTCTTTGGAAAGCAAATACACTTCCAACTGATCCTAAACTTTCATGTTTATAGATTTAGTAGATGTGCAGTGGTGTATGTAATTTCTCAGTAAGTGAACACAATACAACGAAAAGAGTCGACATTTCTTATTACCACCTTGTTATTTATTTATTTATTTTTATTTATTTATTTATTTATTTATTTATTTATGTATTTATTCATTCAGTAGTCTACTCTTATAATATGTTTTGCTGTGTTTTGATAGTTTTATCCTTTCGATATTGTGCAAGCATAAACATGTTGGTTGCCCTATGGCTGCATGCACACACACCCAGAAGCAAACAGCTGGCCATTGTTAAAATATAATAAACATCTGTAACCCAACCTATATTTGTTTTATTTATTCAATCCTTACCAGAACACAGCTTGAAGATGTAATGGTACTCCTTCATATGTAGAGTTTTCAGACAAACTCATGAAAGCATTTTTCTAAATGGTTCAACAGTGTGAGCATGCTTCTGCCACTTTGAGATAGTTGCATAAGTTTAGTGGACCAAATGGTTAAACGTGTGTGAGAATGCTTTTCTGTACCTGCCAGGTTTTGCAAAAATAACACTCGTTGTGAGTAAAGGAATTATTGCTTGCTTAGATTTGGGTGGTAGCTGAAATTAAATGACCCGCACTTGTACAGTGCCTTTCAGTGTGAGAGGACTCCAAAGCGCTTCACACTACAAGAGTCAAGAGTCAAAAGTCATTTATTGTCATATTCTCCACATGTGCAGGACATACAGAGAAATGAAATTCAGTTTCAGCACACACAATTCAAAGATCAGACATACGTGGGTAAGACACATAACAAGAATTGGTGACTGCGGTCATTCACAACATGAGTCGCGCTACCTTAATAGTTAGATGAAAAGGGTGTTACATGAGGAAAGTTCAGGGAGGGGAAAAAAGGCATTAACAGGGTTACACCAGCAGGGTGTAGCACTCCAATGCAAAAAAACACCCGACATGGAAGCACAGACAGCACAGATACAACATCAGAGTCCAATGGGGAGGTGGGGGTGGGCGGGATCCTGAAGCCTCCAATGGGAGCTGCCACTGCGGCGCATCGACCAGCTGCAGAAGAACAGGTGGGAGGGAGAGATAAGGAACAGAGAGCACATTGAAGTTCCTGCAGACATGTCAGCCTGAAGGAAGAGGGTGAAGGTCGGGACACAGCATCTGTCGGCATTCCTCCTTTTGTGGGGGTGTGTTGAGGCAGCCTTGAGAGGCTGCTATGGCGTCAGATAAGGATAAACATGACTTTGTTTAGGGCAGGCAGAGATAATCTTCCTCTCCGCCTTGGAGTCTCTAAGTGGTCATTCATGTCCACCAGTGAAGCCAATTTTACATTCCACATCCCCGCATCGTCCGGCGACCCTCTCCGAGATCAAATCCATCTTGCGCACCAACACAGGCAACGCCGCAAGGACATTGTCCAGCTTACGGTTCACCTCGAGTAACGTCCCAGTCTGTGAGGTCACCGCACGAGCGGCACATTCCGTGGGTACGGGTCACACTCCAATCGCTCCCGTCTTCCCAAATTTCCAGAAAACCAGATATCCTCCCACTCCAATCAGAAGAAATCCAGTGATCATCAGGCCGAATATCCACAAATCTTCCACGTCCTCGATGGACAGCTGAGAGAGGCACACGATTCGCCAGACCTCCCAAGAATCGAGTGCATATCCCGATGCGAATGTCCCCTCGGGACAGGTGGGAGCCCCCTTCTCCGTTCTCATCGTAGAGAAAATTTTGTCAATCACGTTGAATGACCAATTAATTAAGTCCATATTTCCAAAAAAGAGTAGTGGTTTCAGGAGAAATGCAGAGAAGTGCTCTGTAGGCAGACAGGACAAGAGCCTTGGGGAAGCCAATAAGGGAGCTGAGAAAAAAGCGTCTGTACTCTCTGAAGGCTGAAGAAAGAAAAAAAAAAAAGGGTATCATTCATCCATACATTCACACGTTGATGGTGATGCCCTAGTGTAGCCACAGCTACTGACAGAGGTGGGTCTGCCAAGCACTGGTGCCACCGGTCCCTCTGGCCACCACAAGCAGGCAAGGTGGGTTAAGTGTCTTGCCCAAGGACACAACAGCAGAATTCTCAGTCTGGAGCTGGGATCAAACCTGCAACCTTCCGATTACTGAACAACCCGTTCAACCTCCTGAGCTACTGCTGCCCTTTAAGTACTACACTGTATAAAATTGACTAAAGTAGAGGCACGCTCATCATCCTACATGACAAGTGCTGCCCCGGCAAACACGGCCGTTTGGGTCCCCATGTGGGATCTCTCTGGGCAAAAATTTTGCCCATGAAGGGTTGCCCACTGTGGGACTTACAGCCGTTGTGAAAAGTATGGCACATGCGGGGCCATTTTTTGTTTTTTTCTAATACACAAATATTTAAATATCTATTACTTTTATGTCTCTACATTAAGTATTGTCTATTTTCTTAAAGATCTGACACTCACAGGGCCACTGTGGATAGTTTTTGGGCAGATCCCACTTTGGGGTGCCCAGAAATCACACCAAGGGATTGAACTGGGCAGACCCCTGGATTCCCTACATGAGCTAACACTCAACAAGGTCACTGTGGGTCGATTTTGGGGAGATCCCATTGTGGGGTGCTTACAGAAATAATCAAAGTTTATGCACAAGGGCAAAAATGGATGGATTTGGGGAGATTCAACTGTGGGTTGTGCTTAACTAAATCTGAAATGGGCCCGTGTGGGAAAACTGATGTGGGCCACATTCATGCAACCATACACAAGATGTTTTGAGCAAACTCTGGGACTAGTGCAGGTTTGCCCTGCCCACACTACCCCAGACACAGCCCACATGGTAGGCAAGTTTGCTGGGGTACAGCTGAGGGACGTGAAAATGTGTAGAGAAGAATGGAGCTGGAGCACAGGTCAGGCCAAGAATTTAATAGATGCATGTCAATGACAATTCACCACTCAACATGTCTTCTTTAGAGTTACATGTGAACACATAGAGGAAGGTAATCATAGTGTGTACCCAACATTGGGAGATTGGCCGTGATTATTCATAAGCTTATTGGCCAGTGACCAGTGTGCTTCAGCTCCGCTTTTCTCTACTTTGTAAAACACACAGGGGTCCCTCGCTATAACATGGTACTGTCAGGATCTGGGGTGAGTCTGCACATTCCTCTAATCACCTTAAGTCATTGCAGGTGGGCGGCTCCGGAGAGCGGCCAGCTGCGATGATTTCCCTCATCTACTTCATGTGGTTATAAGGAGCTGGAGATCACTTCACCTTGCCGGAAGATTACTCAACTTGGGTAGCTCTTGCCACTATAGAAAACTACAGCTTTAGTCTTGCCTTATATTTGTCCGTCATTGTTGTTTTTTGATGACCTCTGCCTTCCCTTCATCAGGAATTCTCACCACGAACCTTTCCTGCAATAACCTGGTTTTTCATCTCCAAGCCTGATCTCCCTCCTCACCCGGACCGACCCGCTCTCCCACCGCTCACCTCCCTTGGATTCTGGATTCACGCTGACGTTGCTCACCCCAGTCCTGGCTACCCTCCCATGCTCTGGATTTCAGTCCCCACAGTAAGATCCACTACAAACTTAGTCCTGCAATTCTATTCCCCGCTGCCCAACACTGACAGTGTTTGTCTCAACAGACCCAGCCCCGGAGCTGTGCTCAACATCACCGCCACGTCTGGCGGTACACCTTTAGTTCTCCTTAAAATAAAGCATTTATTTTTTCCTACCTACGTCTCCTAGTGTGAATTCTGCATGTCTTGGGTCAGGAAACTTCCCTCAGTCATGACAGGTTCACATTTTCACAGATTTTTTTCTGCAACTTTGCATGCTTTTTTTTTACAGCACATTGTATTTTGTGTCCGAAGTACGCAGGTTTGTGAGTGTTTAAACAAGAAAGAAAAGTGTGAGAATGTCAATGCCAGTTTGAGAACAGTGTATATAAAGTGTGTAGTGAGGGGTTTTACAGCCTTAAAACATTGTGGCAGTGAGCTGGGACGAGCACGTCTGCAGAGGACAGGGGATTGGGAGCGCACTGTGCCACAGCTGGAGCACATTAGTAATCAGCGCTCCTGCATCTTTAGATACAGGAGGAGGAGACATGTCTAAAACATGACGACAAAAGCCTGAAATGCTGGAGTGAGAGTGTGCAAATAAAACTGTTCACCTATGCACCCATGCATTCATCCATCCACTTATCTGGGGTCGGGTCGCGGGGGCAGCAGCCTAAGCAGGGAGGCCCAGACTTCCCTCTCCCCAGCCACTTGGGCCAGCTCCTCCAGGGGCAATCCTAAGGTGTTACCTGGCCAGCTGAGAGACATAGTCCCTCCAACGTGTCCTGGGTCTTCCTTTAGGTCTCCTCCTGGTTAGATCTGCCCGGAAAACCTCACCATGTAGACGTCCAGGAGGCATTCTAACCAGATGTCTAAACCAACACAACTGGCTCCTCTCGATATAGAGGAGCAGTGGATCTACTCCAAGCTCCTCCTGGATAACCAAGCTTCTAACCCTACCTCTAAAGGAGAGCTCAGACACCCTGCGGAGGAAACTAATTTTGGCCGCTTGTGTCTGTAATCTAATTTTTTTGGTCCCTACCCAAGGCTCGTGACCATAGGTCATAGTGCTTGAGCCAATGCTGCTAAGATTGAGCCAGAAGGCAAAGCTATCGATTTATTGGTCATTCTACGTTCCAACCTCCACCCATGCCGGAAATAAAACTGTTGAGAAACTGACATTCTGGTGGGTTTCACGTGTGTATGACCAAACATCGCTGCATATGCTACAAACATCTATAAAAATTGTAAAAACTGATGCTGCCTACTTTGTGGATTTTGCCTATTGCAGGTTAGTTTTAGAACGTATCTCCTCCAATAAATGAAGGTCCCTGTCTGTTGGATTAGCAACATTGGGCATGTGCCATGCTGGCACAATACTGATGGTGCGATGTGGTTCAACATGAAGCCAACAAGCCCCAACCTGCTTCAGATGATCAAGGACCAAGTCTCGCCGGTCTTATTGGCACCTGTCATGGACACGCTGGCTCTAAGCTCTACCCAGGAGCGAGATTGTGACAGAATACCACCACAACACATTTTGTGCATGTCACAATCCTGGTGAACACTTGCACTTACATTTGCTTCCTGCTTCTGTTAACGCTCAGT